TTACAAATGATAAGAATCTTGTTTATATATAAACCTAGCTAGGTATTAGTTGACATATTTTGTAGGCAAAGGAACAAGTAATAGGTTTATTCCTATTACCTAGTAATAGGTTTATATTTTTTGTATGAAATTCAATTCAGATTGTTTATTATAGTTGAATGAAATCTAATTCTGTATAGCACCTATAATTAATATTAAAAAAAAGCCCCATTAGAAACTTCTTAAAAAACAATCATTTTTTTTAATGGAGTTTTGAATTAGTAAGAGCTTCCACAGTTGAAATTAACACTAAAACAGCAGCTGGTTTGTAAGAGCCACGCACTAACTTCAATGACTTCATTCTCCTTTCTGATGAGAGCTTGGAAAAATCTTGACTTATTGGTTTCTCTAAAAACTGTATAGTCTAATATTCACTTTTCTTTATCCAATGCCATTGTAATATTACTTTGCATTTTATTTACAGTACATTACAAATACAATATACATTAGAAGTGCTGAAACTAGCACATCAGAGAATTGTATTAAAAATACTTTTAATTGTTTTTCCTTTGTGTAAACAGAAAAAGGTTGCAGATATTTGCAAAGTGAGTGCTGACCAATGATGTCTGAGAAACTTCACTCAACAGGATAATATTTGACTATTAAATGTTTGTGGTCAACTGTCAGGGAATTCCTGTCTATTAACAGTTACTTTGAGGTAAATGTGTTTGTACTTGTGCTGTACCTTTCACAACCAACATATCTGAAAGTGAAATGGACAGATGGCAAATGTGCACGAAGTTTTGATTTGAAACAAAAAATAGTTTTTGCATACACACGTAGAAAACATGCCAAAATCTGTTAGGAAAAGGCATGATTTTAAATCCTGCTTGACTAACTTTTTCACTGTCCCTGTCTCACTCATTAGGTTTTATATTTGTGTGCTTGTGCTGATGTTATTTTCAGTGTTAACAAAATACTCAAGCAGAAAAAAGATGTTTTCTAAACATTATACTTAGAGCAAGAAAACAGGGAAATCATACTTCTCTCCAAACGTTGCTGCCTAGTAGACATACAGACAATGCAGCAAAAGGAAATAACTTAAACATTTAAAGCCCTTTAAGTTATTTCCTTTTGCTGCATTCTAGTCATAAGCTGTTTTTCTAGGAATGGATCATTGTTAATTGGAAGACCTGTCTTGTTTGCAGTTTTTTTTGTTTCACATGAGATGAGGCCATTCAGCCACTTCTTGCATGTTTAGTAGTTTAGCAGCTAAGTGAAGCTAAAATTTCATCCAGTCGTTCCACCAGGGAGCTCAAAGGTGGAGCTTCACGCACCACACTGGAAAGCTTGGTCTAGATACCCACACCACTTTTTTTTCTGAAGAAGTATTTCTTTTTTCACTGTTCTAAATTACCTTTTGTTTTCCAATTGTGTCCCTTTCTATTTGTTCTGCTACTGATACAGTAAGAGGACCCTGATTAGAATCTATGTACAATGTATCCCTTGTATACACTTGAGTCACATCTCCATTCTGTAGTTCCCGACTAAATACATTTGGTTCCTTTAACCTGCGTATATTTGAATCCCCCGAGACCCTGTAATTATTCTTATTTCTATTCCTCTAAGGTTAGAATGTTCTTTTTATAGTATGGTTTCTAAAAGTGACATTTTAAAAATGGAATATAAATAATGACTCATACAAAAGCCATTGTATTGTACATAAAGGTCTGAAAATACTTTACTGTTTATAATAGATACTTGAATGAATTGTATTCTTTTTTAAATAAATACTACAATATTTATACATACACAGACCTTGAATATTTTCCAGAGTTACACTGGCAAGGCATTAAGTATTTATTGCTTTGTAATGTCTTCAATAACTGTTGTTCAATAACTTTTAAAATTTTTTAACATGCAACAAGAAATACTAGAATATTGATTTATCGTCACATGTAAATACAGCAAATGTTTTTAATGGGAGGATTTACTTATACGCAGACTTGCACACTACAGAAATTGTACATTTAATCCTAGAGCAAAATTCAATACGGCTTTCCTAATACATATAGGATATTGTTATGAAAATATTAAAGATCATTCTTAAATGCAAAATTTAAGCAAGATATTGTAAGATTGATTTGAAAATGTATTCATTGCAAGGAACAATTTAAATACTCATTGCTTGAAGGGATGAAGGATTTACTGCTCTGCTTGAGTTGGAGGAAAAAAAACAATTTTGAACAGATTTTTGACATTTAAATATTCCTTTGTTCGGTAATCAAAAACATTTCTTCTAATGAAAAAGTTCAGTTTTTTTAAAAACAAAAAAAAAACGAATAACCGAAACGTGTCACGTTGTAGACCATTTTTCATTGTGATTAAAGGTTTTGTACTATAGTAGTTTAGTACTGATAGATTCCTCAGCTTACTTCCTAAACTCCCCCTCACACAGTCAGATGGAGAAATACTGACTGTATCCTTTGTATTAACTGAGGCCTTTCATGGGCAGTAAATGACAAACCAAAGAGTAAAAGTAAACCATACATACCTGTACATAAATCTCCGCTTTTCTAATCCTTCAGCTTTTTTAAAAGTTTGGCTCCACTCTGAGCAACACAAGATGTGGTGCAGGTTGATGTTTGTGCAACAACATGTATTAATAAGATGAACTGAAGGCCTCTGTCTCGTGATCTACTTTTAGATCGTAAAGGAATTTTAAGGGAATCTTCCTAAGAAACATGAGTAAATCAAAAACATTCCCTTTACACCTGACCGTTCTGAAGTAAGATGTCATGCTGCGTCATGAACCTTTCCAGTGTGGAAAATGACTGGGGTGTGTTTCTGAATTTGCGACAGTGATTCCCAAGTGATCCAGAACATTTCGGAAGATGTGGTAACTGTTAAATTGCCAAAGTCAGCTTAATGCTAATTATTGTTCATATTTTTATGTAGGTTGTTCACATCTTCTATTAGCATTAGCAGGAGACATCTTCTATAATCTTCCGAGGGCTTTGTCTTGCACATGCTCTTGTGTGCCGATTTATGATGGCAGAAGAGGTGCTTACTATCCATGTTCATGTTTTATTAGCAGCTACAGTAAATAACCTGCAAATCAGAAGTGACACCGACACAAAAGCTTGTCTAAGAATTGATTCCATTAGAATGATCTTAGCTCCAGATTACTAGATAACAAAACTTTAATAACAGATTTTCCTGATTCCTGATTAGATGACTCAATATGTATTGCAGGAAAAGCCCATTGTTCCTAAGGTAACTCTAGAGATGTTTATGTTTAGCTAACGGTAAGTTACTTTAATTCCAAAGATCAGTTTATATGAAGAGTTTTGTTGAGCACCACAAAACAAAGAAAAATGAACAGGCTCTTGGAAGGGGGAGATTTCTTTTGCATTGCTTCATAAAATAGCGTTGTATTTTTATTTTGAGACACTTTTCTAGTTAACTCCACATAAATGTCTAATAAAAACCAAATACAAAAGTAAAAGAGTTTTTGAAAACACTGGATGTGCACTTTTTGCAGTAGAATAAATGAATTGTTAAAATAATCTCCTAGCGTTTGTTCTTTGACAGAAGAAACAGCTCTAAATTGTTGGAAAATTTGGGAAAATAAGAAATTAAACATGGTGAAGCTTGAACACAAAAGTCACAGAGCAAATATACAGTAAGTCCTTTGGGTTTTAAATGTAGTTTAACATGTGACATAACCAAGACCCTGACAGGAATAACAGAACAAATCCTAAATAAAACCCATATTATCAGCTTTACTCAAAAAACATACATAAAAGATATTTTAGAAGCTGGTAAAGTCCACCAGTTCATACAACTACAAATCAAAACAGAAAGCAGCAAAAAGCATTTACAAAATATTATTCCGTAATTAAACACCAACTTTGAATAATGGATTTTAGCACATGCCAATGATCCTGTAAGCAAGAAATAAATCCAACGAAGTCTAATGAAGAAATAACAATACTGACATGCTGGTTTTGCCACATACCTGTGGGCAAAGTTCATTAATTAAGCAGACTCATTTGATTAGATAATTGCCTGCAAAACAATTGACCTGTTAAGTGTCTTCATGTGGTTTATCATCAAGGTTCTTAATAATGTGGCACAGTTAACATTAATATACACGTCAAAATGTTGACTAAATGCAAAGAAATAAAAACTAAAGATGCACATAACAGGCATGTTTATATAAAACATGTACTTTGAGCATTATTGATAAGGTTTGCTTTTAGTTTATATACACAGTGTACATTAGTTTATTCCACTACAGTGGACTGAAAAGGTCGACCAATGTTCTGAAGTTGAGAAATTTGTAAGGTAAGATCTTACCCATCTATGAATTGGCTACATTACTCTGCTCTCCTCCCCACTGATAGCTGATGTGTGGTGAGCGTTCTGGTGCACTATGGCTGCCGTCGCATCATCCAGGTGGATGCTGCACATTGGTGGTGGTGGAGGGGAGTCCCCATTACCTGTAAAGCGCTTTGAGTAGAGTGTCCAGAAAAGCGCTATATACAGTAAGTGTAAGCAATTATTATTATTATTATTATTAACTTTGTTGATAGCCCTCCATGCAACTGTAGTGGCTGGGACAGCCCTTTGTTTTTATGCATTGAAGGAGGTCAATAAAGTGAGTTTTACCATCAAAATAGTGCTTATAAGACAGTTATACTATATTCTGTAGTACTGTATACTCATCAATGAAGTGTGAGTAATTTACTGATCACTTTCTACTGTACTTCCCCATAAGTGGGGCTAGTAGTTGTGCTGTAAAGCTTTCTCCTGCAGTACAGTACAAGATTACACCATTACAGAGCAGGAAGGAGACACTAGGGTTTCATTTAGTTTTGGTGTCAATTCATGTGACATTCACAGGAGAAAGAGAGCACAAAATGGTTTTAGATATAATTTAACGTCACATAATTAATATCCTGACAGGATATATATTATAAGGATACAAACATAATTCGTAAAATATTCACTTTTGATAGAATGATTCAATTTTTTATTATTCTTTATATTTATAAAACCTATAAAAACATTACCCCTGAGTCACACCACATGGATTATAACGAGTGAAAGCTGAACACATGCAATCTGTATCTTCCTTACAACATAAGATTAAATTTGTAATGTTTTTATCAATCACTTGAGTGGATAATAGTGATGAAATATCTTTTTGAAATAAAAAACAGATTGCAGTCTCCTTTACAAACAACTGCTTGGACGTGTTCTTCTTTGGGCATCTTCTACCTGACCAACTTCTTGCATCTGAAAGGAAGAAACAGCAATTACTTGTCACGTGTTATGTATAAAGATACTGTAAACGTGTCCTTGGGACATTGAAATATTTCTTTGAGAACATATTCAATGGAACGCACACAATAGTCTAATGTTTAACAGGATTGCTGATATTACTATAATACTAAGGCAAACATTGCATTTTTAATAAAAGAGATTGAAAAACTGCATGGTCAAAATCACCCCCCAAAAATCTTTAAAAGATAAACACTCTAATCATATAGCTTATGAAACAGTATGTTACACTTTCAGATTGCCTCTTTGAACTCCAGTTTTTTTTCTCTTAGTGTGTGGCAGAAACAAAGGCCACTTGTTCAGAATAAAGACCCAGGATGCCTTCTGCAACATTATCCATCGATGTGCCATACTGTTGTAAACTGCATTACCAGCACACCTTTGAGCCAGCCACTACTTCCTCCATTGTCTCCTTAAATGCAACCTTTGACACAGCCCACAGACTGACATCTGTTTGAAGATTAGTTATGACCTAGTGGATAGCAACTGACACATTTATTATTAACCATAAAAACTCAACAAATTCTTTTTGACCTTACAGGGCTCTCATTCTTACTCTCCTTTGTGTTTTCTGCTCTCGCAAAAAGACCATAAATAAATCATTTGTCAGTGTCATATATTTATTTTTTCTTTTATTTTGCATATTGATCCAGACCAGTAACAATTACATAGCTTAATCTTTATTGAAGCAGATCAGAATGATGATAGACGTAGGTTCAGAGACTGTATCTCTTACAGAAGGTCGCAATAATATAAAACAGTTATTAAAATGTGTCCTTTTAAAATCATTCTATGTTTTAGACCACAAAGATCCCCTGCCTACCAGCACCTCATTTCTCACCCTCATGTAATGTTTTCTTTTAGAACTCTAATTTGCTGCATCCTTTACAAAACTGTACTGCTGCATAGATAGATAGATAATACTTTATTAATCCCATAGGGAAATTGATGAAATAGCATAGAATAGCATGCCACGGTAAGATAAAAAATTCATACAGATGTATGTGTTGTATGAAGAATGAATGAATGTATCCCATAAATCAAAGGTAATCATGCATGCTGAATAACATCATACATCTCTGATACACGCATTCCATCAAATAAGATGTACAATCAAATACAAACTGTAGGAAAATAGAATGTACAGTAGAATGTAACCACACACTGATGCTTAAGTAGGAATGTACTGTACATTTCAAGTACAGTCGGTCTGTTTTGACAACTGAGAAGAGTCACAGAATCATAAGATTATGAAACGGTAACCCTCAAATAAGTTGAAGCTGGTAGGCGGGCATGTTGCTTGGAACTACAACATGTAATCAAAACTAGACGAAAACATCCAATCTGGACAATGAACTAAAATTCCAAAGACCCTTGGTGGTTTTGTGCTCCAGGCCGAAGAATAAAAGGATTTCAGGGTGTCCTGCTATTACAGCTATTGAGAGGTTATTATCGTTCTCTGTTCTCCTGCTTTTCATTTGTTTATGAGGGCCTACACAAAGATGTGCACAATAGACTTCATGGAAAATCAAACAATAAATACCAGGAAAATAAGAACCTCTTCAAAATTGTTGATAGATTAATAAAGCATGTATTAAAGATCCACTAACAAGAAAATGAAAACATCCTAAATATTTCTGAGACTGAAGACATTATTTTTGAAGAGTAGTAGTGTTTTATCTTTATTACATACTTCAGGATTATCTTTGCATTTTGGGTTTTGTCCATCATCACCCTGCCTACTTCTCACAGTATGGGATAGACTATCTTAATTTAGTATTTAAATTTTAGTATATTGAGGTATAATTGTGTGCCTTATCATAACCTTAGTACCTCACACTGATGTTTTTCTGAGAAGACTGAACTCTAGAAGAACCAGAAGTTTTACTACATCAGAATACTTCTCTCAGCATAGGATTCCTTAGATCTGTCTTGTGTATTTAAACTGATCCAGGTTTATCTAGGATGCTGTCCTAAGTAAGAAAGATGAAACAGCAGCATGAAAAGAACAGCTTCCTATGGCTGGGTTTGTACTGGATGTTGGATACTAATGAAAACACCTTATTTTAGAGGCATGCAGATGTTTTTTTTCCAACTTTAGGTTTGTAATAGAAAAACAAGAATGAAGCATGCTTGATTGTTTGGTGCAAGTTAATAAACACCTGTCTTTGCAAAATGAGGAATGACTTGGGCTCTCTTTGTGTTACAGTAAAGTCTATCATGTGTAACATAAAATGAACAAACAAATGTAGTTTAGTTTCAGCTGCAGTCAAGCGTTTATCATCAGACCCGCAGGAATATGCAATTTCAACATATGGGGCAGAACATCTCCATGATGCCATGACTCTATAACACAAAGCAAAAGTAAAACTAAACCAAACAGCTTCTTGTCTCCCATTGTCTAAAGACCAGGATAAACTGACCCAAAAAGGACAGATACCTATCTCAAGTCAAAGTACCCAGGAAAGAGTTGGCTGGTGAAAGACAAGACATTCCAATGGGGATTTACTGATGCTGGATAAAATTGTAGACTAATCTGATTCCAGTATGACACATTCTTCCTTTGGAACTATATCTAGTTTCAATGAACTCATTGAGCACTGCTTTCTCTTAATAAAGTTGCTTTGTGTTTCTTTGAAGTACAACATCTTTTATTTTTTATGAAACTCTCCTATTTTACTTAAAGCATGCAAATGTTTACTCATCTGTTTGTTAACAAGTCCCAAAAGTGAATATTTAGGGTCTTATTTAACTGTGGAAATGTTTTCTGTTTTATAATTCATGAACAGCACCTGCAGCAGAAAATTTATATTCATTGGTTTAATATACTTAAAATGCTGAAAATAGCTTCAAAATTCACCTGTTGCTGAAATAAAACCAAACACATATACAGTACTTTGGGATTTAACAACTTCCCATGATCTGAAACTCAGCTTATTGTGTTTGGGAAACAAAAATCACAAGTTAATTTTCTTATGTTACCCTAATCATAGAGAAGGAATATGAGAAAATTAATAAAAAATTATAACAGAAACATATATATATATATTAATCAACAAAAACATACTTAAAATATTATAGCATTGCTGCCTCACAGGGCTGGGGCTGGGTTCAATTTCTGGGGTGCTATCTACTTGGCGTTTTTATGTTTTCACCATGTTTGTATGGGTTTACTCCAGGTGCTCCTGTTTCCTTCCCCAGTCCAAAAAGGTGCCGATAAGTTGATTTGTAAAATTGCCCTGGTGTAAGTGTGTGTGTGTGTTTATGTCTGTTTGCACCCTGTGATGAACTGTCCAGATTGGATCCTGCCTCGAACCCAATGATAGCTGGGCTGGACTCCAGGTCACCATGACCCTGAACTGGATAAAGTGGATGTTGAAAGTGATGGTAATTGTGATATCCGAAGTTACTTACAGTATGTTTACAGATGCAATTATCTTTAAAATCACTGTCCTGTTAACTGGAATAAGATCTTTGATTGGACTAAAAACAAAGTATTTGGTAAAACAAAATATATCCTATTTATTTGGTTACCACATTTAAATCAGGCATAAATTGAAGATTAAGCCTATTAATGTTCACTAAGATGTATACTTAGATTTCTGTGTTTTGTTCAAATAAACCTCTAATTTATAGCAATGCAGCTAAGACCATGGGTTTTTTAGGTATGTTTTCTTGAAGGATTCTTGGAGGTATGTAGACATTAGGCAGGTCCATTACCTCTGGGTCTTTACAACCTGTAGTAAAATAATTACAGTGTGTAAAAACATTCAAATGGTTTAGGAGTCTATAACCTTCTCTTTAGGGGAGGCAGAGGTGAGACAAGTTCATTGCTCTGTTTCTGAATCATACCAAACAAACAAATAACAAAAAGTGTTCAAAAGTGTGTTTTGGACTCAGTATAGTGAATGTTTAGGGAGCACTTCAAAATTGCAAGCCTACCAGAGATGCCTGAAGTACTGAGGGGCAAAGAAATAAGAAACTTCACCCCTCACTGGCTATGGTATTAGCAAGGTGAGATGGGTTAACTGAAGGGTGTCTCAAAGTGACAAGAACATATATTATATTAATGGTCACCTTCTCAGGTAAGCAATCCTCTGATTACTTGCTGAATACTTTGATGCAGAATATGTGTGAATCCCACAGACATTCATCACAAAAGAAGGTTAATTCATGCAGATTTTGTGTGTAAAAAGTTCAAAGAATGTGGTGGACTAGCTATGAATTGCATAGAAAACCCAGCTAAGTATTTTCTGTTTATAGAGTCTGATGACTGAGTGAAGGTATTTTGTTAAGAAAATACAAATGATTCTGAAAAAATACATTTTCTCTACAGTCTATCGTCTTTACAGGCAGGGAGTAGAAAAGACACAAATCGCTGAGAACTTCAATTACGAATGTTTGGTATTATGTAGGACATGGTTAGGCATGTCTGCATGAACAGACTGTCACATTCCTTTGCCTAACTAATGGCATTTCTAAGTGCTGCTTAGGGAAAAAAAACAGCCTTGTGGCCGTAACTGATCTTAAACTATGGTCAACACCTGACAGACAACACCGTACTGTAGAAGTGGCTTCAGTCTTGCCTATTTTAGATGAAGAATGTGGGAACTGTGTTGCTTTCAGCATAGCCACAAGCTGATTGTAAGGCCTTTATCAGCTGCCAGGCTACAACCCATAACACAGGAGTTAACGTGCAGATGATGAACTTCTACCACAGGAAATTGAAAACATTTTTATCTGTGCAATAGAACAAGCACATATTCTCAAAGTTAAAAATTGAAAAAGAGAGACACCAGAAACAAACATATGTTACAATCCAAATACTGGGTGACCAATTTCACCCTCTCTGCTTGAGTGGAGACCCATATAATCAAGAAGAACAAGGAATACACAATTTTCCTTTTGCTATCAAATATATGCCTTCACTGGAATGTCTGTGTCTAGGATAGGAA